CCCCCTGCCCCGAGCAGGGCCGTTACAGCCCCCGGTGCACGGTGAATGCATGAAGCACTCGTCCCGTGGCGCCCGGAGCCGAGAGCTGAGGACTCCCGGCCTCGTCCTTCCACGCTCACGCTGGTGCGGAGTGTCCGGGCAGTGCCGGTGCCTTCCCGCCTGCGGCTGCCGCCCCAGCGGCTTTCGAGGACGCAGAATCGATATGCACTGAAGATGGGCTCAGGATCATCAAACGACTTCAAGCTGTTGAACGTACATAAATACACGTCGCCATTAGCATTCGATATACACGGTCCCAGCGTGGGCTGAAGGTCCTGGTTGTCCGTGCCCGGTGGTTCGGTGCCTCGGGGGCCGCAGGACGAAGGGTGGTCCTGACCCGCAGCCGCTTTGTGCGGGGAGCTGCGTGCTGGTGGTGTGTAACCAGGCTGTAAACGGATAGGTGAACAGTGCTGTCAAGTGGTGGGAATTTTATAGGGTAGGGAAAGCTGTGGACCAACGAAACTGAGTCATGTTACCTAGTTAGAGAAAGTGAGGGAGGATGTTTAGGTTACCCATGAGTCCTTTCTAAGGCTAGGTGTTCCAGCTTCTGTACAGCCTCTACCAGCCTGTTTTCAAACACCGTGATCCTAACGATAGCCGAAAGCACAGTGACCTTCACCTACCCTGAGAAGAGAGAGAGTCTAGTGCGGTATAGATTACAACACAGTGCACAACCCTGGAGCCTGCTCTGGATCTGAGCGTTTTTTTTTCTTGATCAATTTTTTTACCCATATGAACACTAAACTTTGCTCTAACCCTGACTCAAAATTTATTTGATGGACCTCTGCTTGCTCCAAACCAAAATGTAACTAGTTACCTTAGCAGGCCTTCTGAAATAGGCTTACTATCACCCCACTGCCAAATCCTAAATCTGATTTAATGACCTATACACTCCCCAAACTAGAAATCTAGCCTGATGACCCACAGTGGCAGCAATGAGTCCTTTATTCAGACATCCCTTTCTGATTGCCTGCATTAGCCCAACTCATCACTTTCTAACAGCCCAGATCTTAATCCTAAATGTAACCCTGATTTCGTAGAATCACAGAATCACAGAATGGCTTGGACTGGAAGAATTGGAAGGGACCTTTAAAGATGATCTAGTCCAACCCCCTGGCCATGGGCAGGGACATCTTTCACTATATCGGGTTGCTCAAAGCCCCGTCCAACCCAACCTTGAACGTTTCCAGGGATGGGGCATCCACAACTTCTAATGTACTAAGGCGGGGTGAGGGGGTGGACTTAACAGAATGCCTACATGAATTAGGATCTTAGAGGAGGAGCTTTGGCTAGGGACTGTAGGCGTAAGGCTTATAGGAACATACAACTGGAAGGAACCACCTTTACCATGGAGTTCCCTGAAATCATGGGAAACCATTCAGCAGATACAAAATTTAGGAAATGCCTGTACTTCGTAACACAGTGTCTGTGGGGGCCTGCAGAAGCCTAGCAAGTACTACTTCCTAGTACTCTATAACAAACTTCAGATATGTTGTAGAAGCCCAAAAGCCAAGTGATATGTCACAAGAAAGGAGGAGAGATCAACAGCATCAGTGATGTCTTAGACCTCTGTGCAAACAAGGTAATTATACCTTCTAGAGGACATTAAGAAGCAGACGTGTCCTACAGTGTAGAAGAGGGTGAAAGCCTAACGGTAGCAGCTAATGAGGCCTGGAAAAATCCTGAACCCAGATCTGGTAAATTAGGAGGCTTAGATTCTTTCTTAGCTCTGAGACAGCTTGCTGTATGATCTTGTGACACATTATCTTCTCTCACGGTGCTCCAACTGATTCCTTGTAAAATGTTCATAACACTGAACTACTGGGAGTGTTATGAATCCTAGTTGATATAAAATAGTTGAAGTTTTCTTTGAATGACAGGTACTCAATAAAGACAGGAAGAGTTGTAACAAAAAAGGAGAATCTATTTAATAGCAAGGACTTTGAGCAGTAAACAGTTAAACATTACTAGTTCTTTATGTAATAAGGCATCCTAAATTAGGAGATACACAGGAAAGATGTGTCATCAGGTTCAATAACTGTGTTTAGAGATAGGAAAAAGAGCACAAAAGAGCACAGACATGTCAAGTACATTCAACAAATTCCTATTCTGTTCAAGAGTTCATTACAACAAATGAAAATTAACCTGGAGTTTCAAAATTAAGATTATGAGTGTGGCTGGAAGCCTGAACCAAAATACATTCTGCTATACGTCAGGTGATTTGAGTAAGCAGCTGTAAAATTAAGCTTTTTTGTCTATGAAAAGTAATTTTTTCTGTACATATTATTATAAAAACAAGAATTCCTGCTATTTGTTTTTACTACTTAGGACTGCCTTTATACCCTTCCAACAAAACCTCTGGTTAAATTCTGCAGCATTATTTGTCTTATCTTAGTCTCAGCTCATTGACTGTTGGGTTGGAATTGATTGACAGATGTCACTGGAAAGTTCTAGAAAACTGTTTTGACCAAAATGTAAGATATGCAGACCTGAGCAAGGTTTTAGGGCACAGCTAGGAGCGAAAGAAAGCATCAGTTAGACATCTGACATGGAATGAAGACAGTTGTTGCCAGAATCTCTGCAGAAAGGTTTTGGGGAATAATTACTGCTCTGTTCGTCCTGGTTTTGTTAATTAAGAAGTTTGCAGGGTTTCCTACTGCCACCTGCAGAATGTAATAGGCAGCTGCTGTTGCAATTTTTTTTCTACAAAAGCCCGAGTCTCCTGTTGGGCTGCACCGTACAAAGTTGAATGAAAGGGAGAAGTCTGCTGGAGGCAATTAAAGAAAAGTAGCCAGAGAGAGGCCTCTCTTCTGGCAGCAGATCACAGCACCCATTCCTGGGCTTTGACAGAGGTTCTCCTCTGGATAGGCGTCTTGTGATGAGAGAGATAACGGCTCCTGCTCAATTAATGGAAATACTTCTTCACTCTGCTGGCTCTGGTTCGTACAGCCTGACATCATCCTTCAGGCAGAATCAGGCTTAGCTTAACTTCACTTCTGCCTGAAACTAATTACGGTGCCTGAACTGTGACCTCAAGGGGGTGATTGTGAGGCAGAGGGGTGATGGTCAGGGACTGCTGATAGTGGTGAAAAATTTATGGCAGTGACCTCTTTTTTTGGTACAGCTGGATCAATAACAGAGTGTCCACCTGTGGCCTTGTAGCTTCTTAGTTTAAATGAGGCAAGCCTCTTCCTGAGAAACTAATGCACTGCAGGAGCATCCAAGTAAAGTGTTTTTTTCAGCCTAATGAAATGACAAAACCAACTGCTGTATTTAGTTCTTCTATGTTTCTCTCAGATACAAGACATACCTATCTGAAGACATTTTTAGATGTTCTCCTCCCTTGTGGCATGTGTTACATTTAGAGTATCTCAGGCTGTTGTTTGTATAGACAACTATTCTATTCTATTCTATTCTATTCTATTCTATTCTATTCTATTCTATTCTATTCTATTCTATTCTATTCTATTCTATTCTATCCTATCCTATCCTATCCTATCCAGTCAAAGCATAAAGCCATTCAAAACACTGTGGCTCCTCCTGTAACACAAAGAAAGGACTCATAGCTGCTGTTTCCAAGACTGTTTCATGTCTTACACATTTTTTAATATCTGTATCAGGACTAGGTTAGACCTTTCCAGCAACCCAAATGGGTTTGGTGTTAGCCATGCCTACCTTCAACCATGCTCCCCCTTGTTCCCATAGCTGCTGCATCGCCAGGATTTTGTTAAATTGGTATATAATGAAGGAAGGCAGTAAAGTCAGTTCCTTGCTTCTTTAAGATTTCTTTGGATATTTCCACCCAGATAAAAGCTTTATGGGTCATTTGCTATTGCAAAAGGCTAAATACACTCTCTTAAAAACTATTGTTTTCACAATCTTTTATAATCTTAAGTACAAATCTAAGATAGATAAATGTGTTAAATATATTTATAAACCCAACACCGTTACATTGGCCTTTTGCATAAATCTTCAAGGTTTTTCAATAGTATAAATGATTGCTTTGTGGATAGATGGGATTATAATCTCTTCTTCCCCCTATTCTTGCTTTGAGTAGCATAAAGACACATATTTATATATCACATTCATCTAACAGATTCCAAGGGAAAGAATTTATTCTTATAGGAAGAACTGTAGCAGGTTTTATTCTAGCAGGAATTTCGGCCATATTTTAAAGTAAAACTATATTAGCATATCACACTGTGCTGTGAGTCACTCTGAGTTTCTGTACCACATGACTGACATGGGAAAGAAGGGATCGTTTAAAGTCTACAGTGTTAATTGAGGTGGTTGCAGTACCATTTAAAAATCACTTGAAATGGCAATTTCTTTAAAAATTGATTTCCGGAGAGCAAGCAATGTAATCTTTCATGGAGGAGTTCTAGAGCTGTAGTTTGTTGTCCCCTCTGGCACATGAACAGTTGTGGTTGCACTTCTGGCACTTGATCAGGCTATCTCCTATGATAATTATGTATGGGCCATTCATTTACACGGCAGTTACGGAGGTGATAAGAGAAGGAACATGCAGCACTTGGCAAAGAGCAGCAGTGTGTGACCTGTCTGAACAATTCAGATGAGCTGCAGTTTATTCACTGCCTATACTGGGGACTTATCAGGAGATAGGGCAGGTCTGTGTGAAAGTTGTTCTGGCTCAAAGGCTTAATTAGAGGCCAGGTATCATGGATTTGCAGTAGGCTTCATGCAGTGTAGGTTTGGAAATTTCAGTTACCTGTACGTGGAGAAATATTTCATGAAACAGATAATTTGTGAAATTGCATCTATATCTGTCTTGGAACTCAGTCAAAGTTTCTGGATTTTTGGACCCAATACTTCTTTGGCTGGTGACTTCAGTACTGAAGAATTTAGCCTATTCTTAAGCTCAAGTTCTTTTAAAAATGGCTTTTTAAAATTGTTTAGAGCAATGAATTGCTTAAGAGCCGGAGGAAGGCTAGAATGGTGAGCAGTGGAGTTTGCACTGTGATCTTCAGGAGAGCAGACTTCTGTTTGTGTAGGCTATTGCTAGACAGAATCACCTGGGAAGCTGCCATAATGTGGAAAGGTGCCTCACTATGCCAGGCTAATTTTTAAGGAAAACTTGCTAAGCACTCAGAAACAAACTATCCTCTTGTGCAGGAAGACTGTAAAATTCAGCAGAGGGCCTTCTTGCCTAAAAAGTAAGTTCTTAATGAACTAAAAATCAAAGAAGGCACATTCAAGAAGTAGTAATCAATGAATCTACGCCCAGTTAGTGTTTGGTAATGAGCAAAATTACCTGGGGGTCCATACCAAGGACTATAATGTTCAGCTTCTGAATCAATGACCTAAATGATGAGAGAGCAAATTTGCAGATGCTACTAATCTGGGCAGGAGGGTGGGTGGCATGCTGAACTTTCAGTCTGGAGAGATCTTGAGGAAACTGAGAACGGGGCCAACAGAAATCTTGTCAAGTTTAACAATGAGAAGTGCAAAGTTTCACTCCTGGGATTGAGTAGCCCCATGTGTCAGTACAGGCTGGGAGCCAGCAACCCTTCTAGAAGAACCGTAGGTGCCAAATTGACTATCACTCAACCAAATGTTTTCCTTACAAATGAGGTGAACTGCATACTGGGCAGCTCTAGAGGGAGTGTGACCAGCAGATCTAGGGAAGTCATACATTTTCTTGACATTGATGAAGCCATAGCTGTACCTGATTTTGAGACCCTGAGCTCAGCAAAGATGTTGAGAAGCTGGAGGGTCTGGTGGAGGGCTACCACATGAGCCCACAAAAAATGAGGAGTGGTTAAGGAGCTGAAATTGTTTAGTTTGGCAAAAAGGAGGGAAAAGGGAGATTCAATAGCAACCTACAACTACTTGAAGGGCAGTTACAAAGATGGTGGAACCAGAATGTTCTTGGTACTGGCAGATTACTCAGAGAAGGTGAGAGAGCTACAGACTGCAGCATAGGAGGTCCAAGCTGGACATTAAGATAAACCATTTCATTATAAGTGTAGTGCAGCACTGGAACAGGTTACCCAGAGAAGCTGTGAGTCTTCATCCTTGGAAATTTTCAAGACTCAACTGGGCAAAGCCCTGACTGACCTGCTGTAAGCTGGAGACAGGACTAGAGAACTCCAGAAGTACTTTCCTACCAAGATTTCTATGATTCTTCCCACCAGCGTTTCTAATTATTTTGAGGTGAAGCATGTAGGGAATACCCCAGATTCAGTTTTCGTTATCTCGAAATCCAGACCTCTGAAAGATGCATTAGATAGAGGAGACAGATATTTGGAGGGGGCTCTGAGATAGTGAGTCATCCTCAATTCTTATTAAAGTATTAAATGCGGCTTAAATTGTAGATAGTATCCTCTAGACCCTGTAGTAGCTGGTCATTCTTACATGGTGACTTCCGATCTAATGTTTCTTTAATGGCATCAATCATGACAGTTTTGCAGTTTGGGGGAAGGGGAAGAATTAGCTGTTGCTAACTGGTCAGAGTCTGTTGCTGGAATCTGATTTCACTCCCATGAAAGCAGACACAGGGGTTGCATATATGGCACTGTGTCTTACCCAAAACTTCATTGCCAAAAGTTGAATGAATTAAAGTCTATGGGGACCTGAAGACAGGCTAACAGAAGTTGTGTTTTTGCTAGTCTCAAGCCTGAGCACAGGGCTCTGTCACAGAGATTTCATTTCACTTATCCTGATTTCAGTATGCCTGGTCTCTGACTGGCAAAAAATACAATGGAAAAAGTTAGGTGTTCAAGAACTCCCTGCCTCCTTATTTTAAACATTGTCTTTAAGTTGCTGTCTTTATGTTTAAATCAAAATCTTCTGAACTAGATCTGATCTGAACCATATCTTCCTTAGGCTTCTTCCAAATCTTGCTTACTGGTCTAGGAACTCGGATTACTGTTTGGCTCATCTGGGTTTTCTCCAAAGGACACCAGTAGCAGATCGTGGAGACCTTTCCTGGGGTGTGAGCAGTCCTGTGAATGCTAATCCATTTTGCTACTTCTGCTCCATCTCTCCTCATGTGTGTTCAAAGATCAGAGCTATTAGTTTGGGTTCTTCGTGCTGGACAGTTCATGAGTAATGTTTTATGTGGTTGCACATAAATCCAAACCCACTATGTATAATCTTTTCAGGAGATAATCCTTTATCAGCAGGTGTGGAAGTGCTCAGACAACCATCACATCTCTAAAACATGACAAAGAGCACAACATCAAGGAGTGCTATCATGCTGCTATGGTTTGAGGGATGATGTGCTTTAACAAATGCATATTTTTCCTGATTGATATGAAAGATATAAAAGAAATCTGCTTTTAAAGACCATGTTGGTGAATTAATCTCAAGAAGAAATATTATCCTTGAAATGGTCTTTCCTATATCTGAAAGAATATAGTTTCAGATGTAACTATAGATGTGTTTGAATGCGACCACATTCTCAGAATGAAGTGTGATTATTCCCCAACACTGATGTTCTCACCAGTGTCTGTTCACCGTGCAATGAACCTTTCAACAGATGCAATTAGAATAAATGCTTTTCGGAGTACTGAGCATTTAGAGACCTTGGACTGGATCTGCAGCAGAGGTCAAGCTTCACTTCCTTCATCAGGAAGGGTGGGAAAGTGATGATTTGGTTCATGTTTGAGCAAGGAATGAAAAAGATACCCAAGCATCAGCTTGTCCCCATGGGATTTACAGCAACTTTAAGTTAAGGCAATCACCTTGGAGCTTAAGGGAAATTCTGGTACCCAGCGCCGGTACAGCAGTTCTGCCACTCCTAACCAATAATTCTTTACAGACGCTGCTCTGGGTGTAGGCAGAACTGAGTTTTGCTGACCCCAGGAAGAGGACAAATTAACAAAGCAGTTCAACTTTGCATTGGCAGCAGAATGGCTCCTGTACCAGTCTCCCAAAACAGACCCAGGTACCAACTCAAATGTGCTCTTTGGCTCCCAGTAATGATCCTGCTTTTTGTGTGCCTTGCCCTTGCCAATACTGAGTATTTTGCAAAAGGGTGGCATCCTGCCAGCTGGTGGGAGGGGAAATGAAAAGAAGAATGATCGGGCACCTTATTTCTTCTTCAGCTCTGGAGCAGGTTACTCTCTGCACAGCCTCTCTCTGGGCTGGAGTGCACCCTGATGCAGACAGATAGCTGTCCATGCTTCATCTCATCAGCTGATTAGAAATGATGGTATCAGAAGAAGCTGCTCCTTCACTAAGTTAATATTAGGCAGGCACATAGACATTACATTACATTACATTACACGTCAGCGTTGCTGACATGTTGAGACTTGGTTGCTGCTGTGAGACTTGGTAGTACACTTAAGGATGTGGCTTCACCACCTCGGTGTTGGCTTTGGCTGTTCCTGATGCCCGGCTTGGTCCTCTGCTCCCATGCTGTCAAGTGGATGGGTATGTAACCTGCAGCTGTGATGTCACCAGTATTCTAGCTGAAGTGCAGAAATTCTCACGGACCAGGTGTATCACACACTCAGCCTAATTACACTTCTGTGGTATCATAAAGTACATGGGAAACATTTTATGCCTGCTTTCTTAGGAGGTTAGAAAAAGCTTGTTGTAATGCCCATATACAATTACCGATATAAGGTACTTCTCCTTTTTTTAGGTGAAAGTAGTCATCATCTTATTATTTTAAAAATATGATACTAAATTGTGATACCGTTAATAGATAAGTAACTTCCATGACAAGCAGAAAGGAATATTTACAC